AATATTTATGACGTATTTTCATAACACATTCTAAATGATCTAGTCATACCACATTTCACAGCATTCAATACAGCGATTAAAAGAGAATGGAATCAGAAAGCAAACGATGCTAACATAAATGCCTGACCTCTGATGGCAGATGAGTTCCGATGTAGATGTCTCGATATCCTCGGATATTTACGATGTTACATTCATTTTGGTGACTAGCAGTGGGACCCAGGACGCGCGGTTCGTCCTACTTGTTACTCGTCATCTGAATGTATCTGCAACCTAGTGATTGGTGTTGTTCCCACTGATTCTCAAAACTCGTACTCATCATTTCAAACGCCAGGGCGTTATTCACTAGGCCACTGAAGCAGGAGAGCTACAACCAGTAAAACGATTATCAGTTGTTGTTTTATAATTAGTATTTTCACTTGAGTCGAATTACTTGACCTCTGTTAGCCGAAGGCAGTGACGAGAAATTCTAAGTATCAAGCAGTAACTGATCCCCGTTGAACAAGAGGTGTCTCTCTTGCTCCAGTGCAATAGTGGGTAACTCTTTGGCGTTTGAAGCGATCCGTATTGTTTGAGTCTCAGTGGGAACAACATCATTCACTGGAGTGCATGTACATCCATCTGACAAGTCCCAAGTAAGACGAAACGTGCATCTCAGATTCCACTGCTAGTCATTAACTAGACTATAATGAGGTAACAGATTTCCAAAGAAAGGGATATTGATGCAGAAATATTATGTTTTCACACTGACCTTGATATTAAAATAAAAAGTGAAACACCAGAGAAGTTTCAGATAAAAGGCAAGTTTTCCTTGAATACACAAACAGAGTGTGATTTTTCACCTATCCAAGGCTTCAATAAACTTGAGTATATGGTGCTGATAGTCGAGATACAATGACCCCAAGGTTGTTATAGGGTCAGTACAATCACCTGTTTCTATAATGTTTCTATCTATGTGGACCATTATATGTTTGACCCTTGTATTTATCGGATTATTCTGTTTCACAAGGTTTGATCAAGTCACACAAACGAATTGAGATCAAGGCATTTAAGTATAGCTTAAGCACTAACCACTCAGAAGTTTAAACCAGCGTTGTTTCCAAAAGGCAAGTTCAGCCTTTGTTCCTGCCATGGGGATCATACGACCCTGACTGTTCTAGATAAATAGATATATTTGTCTTCTTATTCCCTTGTTTATTTTTCCTGCGCTAAACCTTATTTGTATTGGGTAACTTCATTTTGTTGTTCAGTATATTTTACCCCCTAACAAGAAATAATTCCGAAATGTCCTACCCTATCTTAATATATATTCAAGAATATTAAGCTTCATAACTGAGTTTTTCGAAAAAGGAAATTTTTTTCACTACGACTGTCTTTTTTGTCGTTTCCTATGTGATTTAATGGATGCATTCGGGCATAGTTGTTTCTCTAGTCACAATTCAATTACTTCTTCCCCTGTATGCGTATCAAAACGTGAGTTATTTGTTAAGCACAACGAGCTGTAAAGTAATCTTCTATTTGGTGATTAGACTTAGGTTGAAGAAGGTTTTCTCTTCTATAAATTAATGAGTTCAGCTGCATAATATCTTGTTTGTAAAAATGAATAAGGCCTTCGTTTACAAAGCATTCTGTTTGATCCCTTCACTTATAGCAGCGTAGTTTACATACCACTTATTAGAATCGTTCTTACACCGATTAATCAAACTCAAGAAGAATATGTTATTCAGCGAGGTCTATTTTGAGTTTGATTTCTTATTCGCCTGTATCTGTTGTGTAGATACGTTTTCCCTGCTTAAAAGAGTACTTTACTAAACCCAGTTTGTACTGTATTGAACAGAAGAGTTAACCACTGTTTAATTCAAGTAGATTTTCTGCATATCAGCCGTATTATCAATCCATATTCCTTACCAGTAAGTACAAAAAGTTAGGTGATTACCACTTACTGTTTCGTATATTAAACCTATATAGCTCTGTACTTTGTTAAGTATGTCTTATAAGGTTGTTCCATCACTATTTTCATTTCATTTTATTAGGATGCTATCAACGTATATTCTCCATAAAGATAATTTCTGGTTAGATGGTTAATCAAAGTCTCGGCACATAACACCGAATTGTCAGCTTACAATGGTGCAACATCGTGTAGTTGAAAGTGATCATCATAGAAATCGAAGTGAACTCTGGTGCATAGTAGCAGCACCTGTTTTAGGTGTAGTAAAACAAAAAATAAATGGTTATTTATGGATACATAGTTGCAAAATAGTTGTACCTGAATGCTTTGCGATATCATTGGCATCGAATTAATTTATTCGAAAATCTTTCCTACGCTGCTGAATCGCTTCATTCAAAACCATCTGAGAAAATTAGAGACACAACTGATGGGATTTATCTGTCTTTAACATTTCTGATGTTGTCGTTTTATTCGTAATTTAACAATGACTTTCACTTGCTGCCTCCGAAAGAGATACTTTGGAAGAAGAGAAAGAAGGGCATATTTAAGATTTTTTGAACACATTCCGAAGAGTCTATGACAGCGTGGAAACAACACTCTGAGCAGTGCAAACACTCAGCATCTGATTAACGCATGACATCAAGCAGATATCTTCTATTCCTTCATGATGATAAATAAACAAACAAGCTCAATTCCCACGTTTCTGACGGAAGTTTGGTCCGATCTTCTTTAATGTGAAACGTTGGGATTATTTTGTTCCAGATACCCCGTAACTTGCACAAATGCAAACTATATCTAATGCCAACCTTTTGCTAGGTGCCAAATATTTGCAACAGTATTCGGTCAAATCTTGATTATAGTTCACAAGAAACCCCAATTCTCCTGAAGTTTACTCAGGCCGTAGCCATCAAAGGCGTTAAACCTGACTTAATAGTTAAAAAGGAAGCTATAGTCAACCTATGTCTAACTTGGTAAACCTTTTTGACTGTTACTTGATTATCTCAACCCTTAACAAATTTGGCTGCTTATTCCTTCATATAGCTCAGTGACCTTAACTCATAATATTTTGCATGTTTTTTCTCATTTTTGGCACGACCTATTTACGTAATCTCATAACGTTAAGTCACTCCATTTGAATTGCTACTTCTGTCGTTATTTCTATTCGACACACTTCCATTATATTATCCATGTAATTGTAACAGCTTCCCTGAATTTACTGTTATGACTGACCTTTACTCTATTACTATTTATGTACGGCATAACCACTGAACAATGCTCTTTCATTGGACTGAAGGGCGTTAAATTTTGAGCAAAACTGTACATTTTGATACTCTAGGTTGTAAGCAGATGACAAGATTTCAAGGACCCGTTTTATGCTGCTCCTATTGTAGCTTTTACTTTTTTCAAAATCTTTTTTGTTTCAAACCGTTACATCTTCATGTATGCTTAATAACGTCATGTACTTTTATAACTCCAGTCACCACGTTTTATATACCCCTGTTGTCATTTGTTATAATCTTGTAGTGTCTTTAAATAACCCCTGTAATATACAAGTGGACGCTTGTACATTAACCTTACCATTTCACCCCTAGCTGGTCGCTCAGTTTCCTGACAAATGGAAAAGGCAGTATGAAACCAGAAAAGTGCATTTGTAAACGTAAACACCAACAAACATATACAAAAAAGGTTTATATATATTTCAGTGGTCTTGATTAGTTCCAGGCCTTTCTAGGTTTGAGTCCTATTGATTTTTCGTCTCTTCAACCAACCTGATACTTACACGTCGGTTCACATGTTTTTTTCCGAAACTTTGAAGCAAAGTGACTAGTTGAAAAAGGCTTAAGCGGGCTACGGCTACTTATGAAGATTTTGGTAAGCTTATTCCACAAGATAACATATACCCTAGTGATGACACTTCTATTGTGATAATTCAAAGCATACAGATCACTTGAGAATTTCCTCTTATATCCGAAGCTAAAAGTCCTTTTTACTGATGCGAAAGATGATAATCATGATTTTCTTTTCTCTAAATTGGGAAGACAACACTGCTCAATGTATAAACTTCAGTTGATATCAACTTTTCTTTTTATATTATCCTCCATCATAACATATCCTACTGAAAAGTTTAAGACCAATATATAACTGAAGGCTATGGAATAAAATAAAGGAGATTCCTAAGAGAACAAATATAACAGCTTGACATAGATGAAGCAATCTTCATCTTTTGCTGAATATATATTCAATAATAATAACCACTTTATTCTTGACATTATGTTGAGGATGCAGGTAAACCTAAGTGACCAATCAAATGCGAGAGTCATTTATATATTTACCTTTCTGCATAATACCGTTTAATTTAAGATCAGATTAAACGTGAGTTACCGAACATATAACATCAAAATGCTCCGTTTCAAACAGTCTCAATCTTTAAAAATATTTCATTTTATGGTATCATTCACTCTCGCACATGTTTGTGATATTTTTAAACTGCCGTTTTACCTGTAATTTTGTTGTTATTAACATTACTATAATTAAATACTACAACTATTTCGTATAACAAAATAATATAGGAGTAAATTTGTTGGAATAATACATGCTGAGAATTTCATACTGTATAATACAAACTGTCTGGAATAAGGTGATTATTAGTGGTATTTTTGTATTCATTAACAGACTTCTCTGGAATTCCTAAAGGGGTTATAAGTATATTCTCAAAATTACTGTTGACTGAGTAAAACTTTTGCGAAAATCACTCAAAAACCATTGGAAAAATGAGAAAATATTTTGTGTATAGATATGTTGGTCACTAAAAGATTATTTGTTCAAATACCAACCAACTTCTTGTAGGTGAGTCGCCGAAAACCAATCAAATTAGGAAGTCAAGGTTAAAAATTCGACCTTAACTATGATTGGTTACCTTGCTTTATTGACTTTATTCCTTTATCCAAATGATTATATCAGCTGCTATCACTTCATAGTTGGACAAATTGAAGTAAATTTGTAGAATCATTACTATTTGTTTCTTCTGAATCCATAATAAACAGAGAGTAATCAAATGGATAAGCCTTCAGAAAGTACATCCAAACAACTAGAAGCGGATTTGCATTTCTTAGAGTCCCAACATCCAGAGCTCAGTATGATTGCAAGAAATCTGGCTCAGATCGCGCTGAGTACAACACCAGCCCCACCAGATACTTCAAAAATTCCTAATGAAATACAAAAATCCCTATCTAGTGTTGAATCCATAAATAATAATGCCTGGCAGCTTTATCTGATGCAATTACAACTTCAAGATCCAAATATTCAAAATTTGATTGTTCAGCAGCAAAAACAATCACAAGCACAAAATACTAGCAACACTAACACTAGCATAAAAAATTCAGTAGAAAACGTGCATTTAGATCAACATAGTGTAAGCAAACCTAAAATTCGTACAATCGAAACTCTGTTGAATGCTGGAGTACCCAGAAGTGGTAAGAATATTGAAATGTTTTTATGTTATGTTAATAATGCTATATAACCTTAGCCGAATTGCCACAGTAAAGCAATATACTTCATCTTAGTTTGTGAATGGCCTGCATGAAAGTATCCTTCAGTCACAGTCACTATGGTAATTTGCAAGTGTGGTCATGATAAAATAATGAGCAGGTAGAGACATCAGTTGTAAGTCTTATATCCATGCTTGTGCACCGTTTAACATTTACCAGGAACAAGCGTTATCATCAATGAAGAAACTTATACTTCTTCTAATAATCGGATTTCAAAAAAACTGTTTGTTAATCAGCTTAGTGACTTGAAAAAACTGCACAGTTATATAATATCACTTAAATTAACAATTAGATAATATCGGCCGACTAATTTACTTTGAGTGAAGGCAACAACAAGAACTGAAGCTTGGTATTCACCGACTAATAAGCGTAAGTTGACAGCTAAAACTCATTAACTAGGTATTTGTGAAGTTTAGAAAATATTTTTTGCGTTCACTTTTCTCATATAGAAAGCCCAACACCGTAAATACTCGTAAACTAATATTACAATATATATCTATAAGGTAGAGCTTTGCTATAAATTCAGTTACAGTCTAGAAATACACAACAGGTAACTAGTACTCAGTCTTCTCTCAAGATTCTATATTGTGGTGAAGGTTAATAGAAACTTATATCTGAGTACTCAGTAAACAATATCATTTGAATAATCAACACGAAAAATTCCTCTGTCTACATAACACGATTGCATTTCATGTGAGATATAGATACAGACCAAAACGTGGCACCAGGCTAGAAGTCTGTTGCCGTTAGTACCTGTTATGTAGAGAGGTGTAAACTATCTTTTTGGTATCTTTGAGGTGGTAGGAATCAACGGTTGGAGACGTTTGGTGACATTGTCAAATTCTAGTCATAGTGACGCAGCTACATCCAGCTTTTGACGTCTTCTTAAGCTTGAACATGTTCACTGAACTTGGTTTTCAAATTCCTTCTCCTCTTTTGCTTTCAGTTAGTTTTATCTCACCTTTCCGTTATACACTTGTTATTCGTATGTCACTGTGAAGTGTAGTACCTTGAACCGATTCATTTCTGTGCAAGATTCGGTGTTTATTTTGATTATCTCTCAGTCTGCATGCATGTATGTATGTATGTTGAGACATAGCATCACTTCTTGCAGATGATTTTAACTAACCGACTAAATATTAGGATGTACAAAAATGAAAAAATGCAACATTTTGTAAGGGCATGAAGATAGCACCACGTTGATGGCTAATATTTTTTACAAACCTGCTAAGTGAAGTAAAAGAAAGTAGCAATTACTTCTATGTCACTGCAGATTTCTAGAAAAATCGAAACTATGAGAATGCTTCAGTCTTCAGTAGCGACCAAATTCCGTCACCTACAGAACAGTCACGAAAATCATTAATTGAGCTAAACTTTATAGGTAGAACACCTGGCTAGGTGTGGGAGAAATATATTGATTGCTAAGTAGTAATCAGCTTCTAATCACTTACGTGATGCCTAATATTTGCTAAAGTGTTCAGTCAACCTTGATCATCGTTCATGTGAATAAGCATTATCTGTTTGTGTGCGTGTGATATCCAGAGATGATAAATATGACAATATATCGGTGAAATACCTTACAACAAAATATCAGAAACGGGAATTCAGATTATGACAAATCAGTTCTGAATAACGATGTTTTCTTTCACCTTTACACTTCATTGAATGGGTCAAAGTTAATTCCGAAGACAAGAACCTCTGAGAATGACAGTTATCTTTTGTAAAACCACTGATTGTGCTACCCGATAAAATCTGAACATAATTCACTTAGTTAATTTATATTCATTGTTCTAACTCACTAATTACGACGTACTGAAAATAAATAAACAGCTTTATTTTGTAATACTCGTAATTTCGCTCTGTTTATCAATGATGGATAGTGGCTAGCAGTGAGACCTACAACGCGCTTAGTTAGGACTTGTCTGCTGGATGTGCCGACATCCTGTCGAGTGATGTTGCTCCCACTAAGACTCTAAACCAAGACCAGTCACTTCAAATGTCAGAGCGTTGCCCATTAGGCAACTGAACCACAGCAGCTACTCTTTCCGCTACGGGCATAGTGTAGTTTTCATATTATGGCTTGTTAGTTAATTACACTGAAGTGGATTGATCAGATTCTGTTTGCATATGAGAGATTGTTAGAAAGACACCCAAGTGATTTGAAGTAAAGATACTCTGATCAGTAGAGAAAACTCTATGTAACTTCTCATTGCAGTTATTCACTTATAAGGTTGAGTAACAATTCAAAGATGGTTCCAATAGGGGTCAAAGGTTAAAGTCACTTAGTAACAGAACGTATTGAACTGTAAGTCGGAAGATTAAAATATTATTATTATTATTTGTCCCTTGGGTTCATAGTGGAACATAGGGATTCACTAGCACACCGCTATTTCAGTCTTTTCAACCTGGCTTCACCACTGCCCACAAGCTTTGATTTCTTCCTCATACCATCTCCACGTCACCCTCGCCTCGGACGCCCAACTCGTCGTTTCCTATTCGGGTTCCACTCGAGGACCTGGTGCATGATATCTCCTAATGATTTTCTCAGTTTATGTATAATCCACTTCCACTTGCTTCTGCATATTTGTTGGGCAATGGGTTCTTGATTGGTTCGTTCCCAGAGTTCCTTGGTGCTTATTTTTTCTGGCCATCTGATCTTCAGCATCAGGCGTAGGCAGTTGTTGATGAATGTCTGTAGTTTATTGCGAGATTAAAATAGTATAATATGTGAGATAGCTAGTCAATTTCTCATGACAAAAATATTCAAACTTAAATTAATGAACAGACAGCAGGAGTGCTTTTGTTGTCGCTGAAATGGGGTGGTGGTGGGTGACATGAATACTATATAAGAGAAAGCGATGAAGGTGTCAGTCAATAAAATCGAGATGTAACAGTGTGAATACGGTAGATTGAAGGTAAAATTATTGAGCAAAATCAAAAAGTTGTTAAACTAATGTCATGTTAACAAAAAAGACACAACAAAATGCTTATGCACACAGAATTCAGGATTCTATTTATGAACAACAAAGAAGTAATCGAAATACCTTTCAGTGTCTTGGTTTCACCTTATCTATCACATCGAATGACCTGACAGAATGATCTGAATTCTATTTCCGACATCCATGCAGTTAAATGTTCATAAGCATTTCTTGACAGTGTCCTGTTGGTACACCTACATGCTTAGCTTCGTGGGAACAAGACAATTTATATACCAACAAATGTATGTTACCAACAATACGACCTCTTCGGTGACACTTTGACTAACGATGGCTTGCGTGTAGAAATTAAGATACAGGAATGTAATAAGAAATGTTCTTCGAACTGCTTTCGACAGACCGACTTTTAGAACCTAACTCACGGTGTCGCCTTTGAATTTCAGATTTAAATAAAGTAATTTTTATTTACTGTTATGTAGAACATCAGACTTATTTTGTATTTATGTATCAGTAAATGAAGTTGGATATCCATTTTGAACCATAGCTTTTTTGAAGCACTTTAATTTTCAATTTAATATACCTGGTGTGAATATGCGGTAAATTCTGCTCTTAGGGACGAAACTGCAAAAGTCGTTAGTTACCCGTTCCATTTAGGCTTATAGTAAATAGATTTTTGAAGTAAACTACCATTTCTCCATGGAAGATCCTTGAATGGATGCATCGATATTATTTCAAGTTTTACTTTGTTTGCTTTTTTTGGATTTCACTACTAGTTATCAGCAAGGAAATAATATCAGAATGGCATTTCAGGCAATATCGAGGTGTTCATAGGCCCACAGAGACAGACTAATTCGGTCCAATATAATGGTCCACGAAAAACTGCAAGCATCAATAAACAGCAAGTGATACCCGCTACACAATGAATAGCCCTTGTAACTCAATAGACAAGTGGGAAACCCCTAACGTCTGGATCAATAGATGATAGTTTTGAGTCACAGTGGTAATAATATCACTCACTGGATGCAGATATATTCAACTGACCAGTCCCAAATAGGTTGAAGCACACGTTTTGGATTCAACTGCTAACCACCAACAAATGAAACACACTTTTTCCTGTAGCACTAGAGACTCTTCAGCTTTCATCTCGATCGTATTCAATTTACTTGTGATTTACATGCGACTCAATTAGCAACAAGAAGAATATTTGGTTGTCACTACTCAATTTCATGGTTTTTTTCTCCTAATAGTCTGTTGAATCTTGTTTTTTTGTTCAGTAATTACACATAGGCTACAGGTATATATGGGTTCAGTGTAATAAATTGGGAGTATCTGCAGTATCTGAGGACGATTTTTAATGCAGTCGAGGTGAGCGTCACTATGAAGCTGCGACTATTCAACGCCAGTTTCTTAATATTAAAATCATCTTAAGCTCATGGAATCTAGTCGTATAAAGTTGGAAACTTTAAACCTCCTCGGAAATCTTAACTTCACGAATAAAATTACCGAACCCGAGAATGTACATTTAAACGTCTAACTAGAAAGCACACCTTCTAGAGTCTGAGGATAACACAGTTGAAACACGACAACATAATACAAGAAAATAGGCTATTATTATTATTATTACTAGTAGTAGTAGTATTTGTCACTTGGATTCATCGTGGAACAAACGCCTTCAGTAGCACATCTCCATTGCACACACTTCTCTATAGTCTTTTCAAACTGGCTCCAACACTACACACAAGCTCTCATTTCTTCCTCACTCACACCATCTCCTCATGTCACCCTCACCTCCCACACCCAACTCGTCCTCCCCATTCGAGTTCCATTCGAGGGTCTCACCTGACACGTGATGTCCCCAATCGGTCTTCTCAGTGTGTGCCGAATCCAATCCATCTCCACTTTATTATTCTTCTGCTTATTTGTTGGGTGACCGGTTGTTGGTTGGTTCGTTGCCAGCCAGCCAGCCAGCCAACCAACCAGACTTTCTTG